AGGTAGTTTTAGACCATAGCGCTACTCTTATTGTGCTATGCGGGATTGCAGCTGAAGGTTGAGGTGTTTTGAGCATTTTGACTTAAAAATGTGTTTCGCGCCATAGCGACGCGCGATGTTTGATCTCTCATCCCTCCAGATGGCTTCGAAACCGGCCGCTTTAGCGATCCTACTTTTCGACCCCCCGGGGCCCCAAAACATTGGAAAAACACAGTGTTTCGACTTTCTACCTTTTTGGCGCACCAAGATCTTCTCTGATCTTCTCTTCCTTTCGCTTCTCTGACTCTTCCCACCTCTGCTGCTTCATCTGTCCATACTGTCGGAAATTGGACTTCCAAACTTCTTTCGAAACAAAGACCACGCTTGACTTTTTTTTATTCACCTACCATAGTGGATGTGAATAGGCCTCAATAGGATCAGAAAAGGTCTTCTCGGAGTGCAGCCTAGGCAGATCTTTGCAATATGAGTGGCGCGCGCCATGAGCTGACTGCTTTCCTGCTTTTCCGTTTATGTTCGCGAGGTGGCAACCTGGGGCCAAAACCAGCAAATATGAAGAGCAGGCTGGAGCTTAAAGAAGATCGCTTGAGCCACCTGGTGGCAAGCGAATATTTCTGGACAGGTGGCCGTTCTTCGATGGTTTTTGGGGGGCAATCCAGTCAGCTTTTAGTTTTACTATTGCTCTGACAGAGGGTAAGTTCCAGACTACTTGAGATGGGTTTCACGTTTCTCTTTGTAAGGACTGGAGGAGAATCCATATTCAGCTTCTGCTGAAGAGCTGAGTGCATTCAAAGCGCCTCGGAAATGAATCCACAGAGCAAGAAACTGGAGGCATCATCATCTTGATGCGAGATAAGGGGTGCCAAGGAACGAACCCGAACAGCATCTCAACATATTCCAATATTGTTAACATATATATTAAGGGGCTACGCCCCCTGCCGCCGACCCCTGGGAGAGAGTGAGTTTGGAACCCTTCCTGCAGTGAACATCTTCCACAGTGATGGCGGCCGAAGCTCAGTCAAAGTCGCTGGTCTGTTTTCATGTGTTCCATGTGCGCGGAACGCAAGCCACGAACAGAGTTTACAGCTTGGCAACAAGGTCGTGAATATACTCAAGACGGCACACAAGTATGCAACGCATGCACAGCCTTTGCCTTCGTTTGCCGTTTTGCTCATCGCACGAATCAACGCCTGGCCCGCTTGCGCCAACGCGAAACCCGCCACCGGCACGCAGCAATCCTAGAGGACATTCGCAAGGAAATTCAGGAAATACACGAAGCAAGACAAACTTCCACGCGAGCAGAAGGTCCCAAAACGGACACTGCCCACTCATCGAACCAGCAGCTTGCTGTCGGGCCTGACACAGCACCGCCACGACTGCACATATACGTCTGCCCGTACTGTGCTAAGTCTGTGCAAAGCCCTGTGGCAACAGGGCGCGTCGATCACCGCCGCGGTAATGGCTGCGGCAAACAATTTCGCGTTGCCAATGGCCTGCTCGCAGGTGGCACATATTCGCATGCATGTCCAACATGCGGCACGGTGGTGCACTCAACACTGGCTTCCGGCCGAATTCGGGTAACGCATCGCAATCCCAGCGGCCGGCAGTGTCGCACCAACCAGTGGCGCGTGCATACCTGATGACGTTTCCAGCTTAAGGTTGCCACACCGCACGGCAATGCCCCACAGTGCTTTCTGAACCTACAAGAAAAGTAGCCGTCTTCCAGCTTTCCAAGCTCAGAAACAGCGCCTCCGCCACGCCCAAACAGCAGGGCCCTGAAGGACGGACCGAGCCTCCGGGCAACGGCTCCCACTGCCTAACGTTGCTATCTGAACCTACAAGAAAACTAGCTCTCTTCCAGCCGTCAAGGCTCACAAACGGCGCCCTCGCCACAGCAAAACAGCAGGGCCCTGAAGGACGGACCGAGCCTCCGGGCAACGGCTCCCAAACTAGCACTCTTCCAGCCGTCAAGGCTCACAAACGGCGCCTCCTCCACGCCCAAACAGCAGGGCCCCGAGGAAAACGGACCGAGCCTCCGGCACCGCTCCACTGCCCTAACGTTGCTTCATGAACCTACAAGAAAACTACGAGCTCTCTTCTCTCCAGCCGTCAAGCTCACAACGGCCCCTCGCCACAGCAAAACAGTCAGGGCCCTTAAGACGGACCGAGCCTCCGGGCCACGGCTCCCCAACTATCTCTTTCCAGCCGTCAAGGCGCCAAACGCTCCTCCGCCACGCCCAACAGCAAGGGCCCTGAAGGACTGACCGAGCCCTCGAGCCCTCCGGGCAACGGGCTCCCACTGCCTAACGTTGCTTTTCTGAACCTACAAGAAAACTAGCTCTCTTCCAGCCGTCAAGCTTCACAAACGGCGCCCTCGCCACAGCAAAACAGCAGGGCCCTGAAGGACGGACCGAGCCTCCGGGCAACGGCTCCCAAACTAGCTCTCTTCCAGCCGTCAAGGCTCACAAACGGCGCCTCCGCCACAGCAAAACAGCAGGGCCCT